CGACGGTCGGTCAGGTACACGAAAGCATTGCCCGTGACGAAGGTACACGAGGACGCTGCCAGTGTCTAACCTATCAATTCAGCCCCCGCCCTTTGATCATTGCATTGGAGAGTTAGCTTCTATCAGAGTTAACTTCCGCGATCTAAGACGAGGTTGCTTATGTCTGGATGCAGGGCACCAACATAGACTTGTGTTGTAATTAACTACACCAGTGATAATATGGCAGTATCATCATCTCCGATAGAAATAACTATCGTTTTTGCTCACCCGGGGCATCAACGAAAACCGCTAAGACAACTTCATTTTTCTTACAACCGCATTTTATTCTTGGTGTTTGCAAAATTCTATGGCGGGTGGAGCTTATCGTTCGTTATCGTTATACCATTTCGAGAGTAATTTACAATTGTTAGGAAATACACCTAGGGGATGACTTTACGAGAGGTGAAAAAAGGTGAAAGTTATTCGCATAAAAAAAGGTGAAGAGTTATTCGCGAAAAGAAAAAGGTGTAAAGAGTTATTCGCGAAAAGAAAAAGGTGTAAAGAGTTATTCGCGAAAAGAAAAAGGTGTAGAGTTATTCGCGAAAAGAAAAAGGTGTAAAGAGTTATTCGCGAAAAGAAAAAGGTGAAAAAAAATTTTGGGAGATGGGGGGTATATATGAATGTTTTTGCATAGCCACTATCCCATGATACGTGTTGTGGTGTTTGTTGTGTTATGTTAATTAGTAAACATTTAACGTTAATACTAGATTAACGTTAATGTTAATACGCGTATACTTAACAAGATCGATCGACGGAATAATCACATGACTTTAATTTATATTTTAAGACTTTTAAGACGCGATCTTTTTACGCGTAAAATTATTTATTCTTTTTCTAAATTCTACTACTCTTACTTGATCTTGTTTTTGGGAAACACTCAATATATAACAAACCAGAATAACAATAATGTCGGACATTAACGAAGATGTTGAATATCAAGAATCTGATATATGTGATGGCCCCATTAAACTCGAACAACTTTTGGTATTCTTTTTCACATTTGGTTCTTGTGTTTCTTTGTTTAATTCGCAATGATTACAAACAATAAATATAGGAATTTGGGGTTTCCGAGCCGGAAATAAAAAAACTCAAGGAAGCTGGACTAATGACTGTTGAATCGGTTGTGTTCACTCCGAAAAAAGTTATTTTAGGCATTAAAGGAATATCTGAAAAAACCGCAGACAAGATTACTGAAAATGGTATTATTCTTTATAGTAATTATATTTTGTTTTGTTTTCCATATTAACTTGTTAATGAATATTTCAGCGAAGAAATTGGTGCCCATGGGATTCACTACGGCTTCAGAAATTCACGCGAAAATGCAAGATCGAATCTTTATCACAACAGGTTCTGCCTCGCTGGACAAAATGCTTGGTGGTAAGCATCATTAATAAGAACCGAGCTTCTTTTTCGAAACTCGGGGAATAACTATTTGATTAATTAAAATAATAATATAATTAATAAATTAGGCGGTATTGAGACTGGCGCTGTTACTGAGTTTTTCGGTGAATTTCGAACGGGAAAGAGTCAGATCTGCCACACACTTGCTGTAAGCGCCCAGGTAAAAACAATCGATTTTTATTTTGGCAATAAAAAAAATCTTAATCGATAAACATTATTTCTGTAAAAAAAATAGCTTCCATTAACATTGCAAGGTGGTTCCGGCAAGGCAATGTATATCGATACTGAAGGCACGTTCCGACCATCCCGTTTGTTAGAAATTGCTGAACGATTCGATCTACAGGGTGAAGAAGTACTCGATAATGTGGCCGCTGCACGCGCTTATACTGTCGAACATCAAATGGAATTGCTAATTCAGGCGGCTGCCTTGATGACTGAATCCAGGTTTCACTTCAATAAATAATAGTCTGTAATGTATTTAATTATATACAAGTTTTTAATTTGACTTTTTATAATCAGATTTGCAATACTTATTGTGGATAGTGCTACTGCTCTTTATCGAACTGATTTTAATGGCCGTGGCGAACTTTCTGCACGTCAAAATCATATGGGGCAATTCTTGAAGGGTCTTATGCGAATCGCTGATGTGGTAAGATGGAAGACTTTTCCTGATTTTTCATAAGGGAAGTGACAGATATTAGCTAATATTCTAGGAGGAAGAGGCCAAATCTCAGGTATTAATATAATCACACGTGCATGTGTTAAATGAAATCTCAGGAGGGGGGGGGGGGGGGGGGGTCCCTATAACAAAATGGATATTAGCTAATATCTGTCACTCGCCTAATTTATTGGATCGATTAATATTACATATATTTTAGTATTACACGGTTAACAATATTGTTGTAAATTTGTAGTTTGGCGTGGCGGTTGTCATCACCAATCAAGTCGTAGCATCTCCTGATTCCAATCCTTTTGCCAGTAATGCTCCAAAACCTATCGGTGGAAATATCATAGCTCACGCATCTACAACTCGGTAATTAATTTTTTTTAATGGAAATTCTTCGCCATCCTCCCAAAAGATTGTAGTTTAACAATTTTTATTGTCTTTAAAATAATTAGAATATCGCTTCGAAAAGGTCGTGGTGAAACTCGTGTTGCTAAAATATACGATTCGCCTTGCCTACCAGAAGCTGAATGTCACTTTAGCATCAGTACTCAGGGAATTGTGGAACCAACTGAGTAGGAAAGTTGGATATAGGCTTTTTTATTATCGTCGTCATCAGACAAAATAGTCAAACTCAAGTTTTATTTATGGATAGTGTAATTTATTTGTCGAGTTTACTAGATTATTAGTATTGTTTTATTGTTATAATTATTGTTCAAATACAAAGAATCTTTTTTTTTTAATTTAAACAAGGAACACCCAAAGCTAATAATTGTTTACCTGATTTATCTTGATCTAATGATAGTTTGGGATTATAAACTATCCCTGCTGAATATTGTGGCATATAAACACGCCTAAAACACGAGCTAACGTTGCCAAAACTACAATGTTTCACAAAACCAGACATGAAGATTATAGTCCCTGCTTGAACTTCTATAGCGATAGGACTTTTTTGATTTGTCAAAAGAGTTGCGGTTTCTATTGCTCTTGCTTTTGTTATTGAATTGCTGTAGTTGCTGGATCGATAAAAAGATGCGCGATTATTATGATGCTTGAAGTAATAATCATGGGAAATGTCGTCCAGTCTTATGGGCATGTTAAGAGTTTGATCACCAATTATCGGATACGGCTCAATATATAGTGTTCCATTTTCCTTTATTTAAGAGATGATCTATTAAATATTAATACTTTATTATTCTTTCTCCCCAGAATATTTACCTTGCTCATGTCATCCAGAGCGATCCAGCATGCAATTGATGGAACTGACCGTGATTTCTCGTCCATGTATTCCGAATCCTGCTTGAATGATTTTTAAGTTTATATATTTTCTACAAGATAAGAGCCACGTCCAAAATGTATTATGAAATAATTCATTCATTACCTGATGCCATTCAAATCTTGCACGTGAATTTCTTGGTGGTTTTACAATAAATTGTTCATTGAACTTGAATCAAATTGATCGATTTAATTGATATTCGAAACAATTTTCCAATACAACACTAGATCATAAGAAAATTCGCACGCACAAGGTAAACGCCACCATCATTTTTATCATTGCGAGTGGATGGTAATAGTCTCCCAGCCAATCTCGCAATTTTTCCCAGAATCAAATCGACGGAGTATTCGTCGCTAATTTGTAAGCGATACCGACGATACGTTTCTTTTTCCGACTTGTATTTTTCTTTAGATTGGACAGGGTTGACATCACTAAATTCAATGTACCCACAGCTTATTGGTTCTGTGTTGCATTAATCAAAAAATCAGAGTAATCGTGAATAATCTAAAGTATTATTGCTATTGATAAAATACTTGCCAATCACGCATCCAAAATCTTCCAAGATATCCAGACCGATATTATAAATATGATTAACTAAAGCATCACATTCGTTTCTCAGACAATCAAGTTCTTTCGGTGTTAACCCTGAATTAAAATGAGAATTATATCTGTTATCTTATGGAATTTTTTAATTGACCTACTATATACTATATACCATTTTCCAGTATCAAAAAACCTTCTCTGTAGAATTTATCAATATCCAAATCCATCCATATAAATTGAAACACGTAATTCTGAAATTATATCTAGTGGTATGTATCAAAACAACAAGTATGAATTTAAATTTTGGTTTATAGTCTATAAATTAAGAATATCTTTTACCCTCAATCAATCATATAAATAATATTCGATTATTACATACATAGATCAATAATATCGTAGAAGTCAAATGTAATTATCATTTCTTGCTGAAGATTTGTTAGAGTAAACATTATTAATGGTTACTCCTTTACATGCAAATGTCTTGGCTTGATTTAGCCCATAACATACAGTGGCAATCAAATATTTTTAAACCCAAATATCTTATATTTAACAATTAGGTTTATAATTAATATATGTTTATAGGAATAAAGATTATTTAAGATCAGGATCATGGTTAGGTTTAGAGTCAAGAATTGCCTCACCGACATTTTTAATTAGTGTACTAAGTTGGATTTAGGCATCCACTTTTCATTTTTCATTTACTTACAGATCAAAAATTTGCGATGGGACAAATCTCGAAATTTTAAATTATTTATTCCAACTTTAATACTAGTTACAATTAACAATAGAAATATGATTCTCCAAGGTTCGATGAATCTTTTTGAAATTCTAAAATTTAGGTGATAATCTTAAGTATTGAATTTAAACTATTTCATGATCTTGGCTTTCTAAAGATGATCTTTTCCATTATTATCATGATTATCTCCAGCAAGAAAGAATCCATTTGTCGGGACAATCAGTTGACAGAGTACTTTGTCGATTAATTGATGTAAGAATCGCTCGGCTTTAACTAAAAATTAAACATTTGAAAGCCAAATCCGAAAAACTAGTCAAGAGATAAAGAAATGAATTAAATACAATCAAAGAGTGATTCTTTAAAAATCAGATGCATGCAAATTGATACTGTCAAGCAATGGTATATTTGTAATATGAATAATCATCAAATATCTATCTTTCTACCTGTTTGATAAAGACTTGCCATTGTCATGATATGATTTTTGACGAACAATCTTATTGGATAAGATTTATATTAATTATTATTGGATTATATATATTAGTATTTCTATTGGATAGTTAT